TCAGATGCCAGAAAGTCTCTGATTGCCACATCATTGCAGTTCAACGGACAATACACCAACGAGCTTGGAGCACTCAAAAAATCCACTCCACATCCTTCCTAGTTGCTTCCTGCATTGTTGAAAGTGGCTTTGTTTGTTGTCATGGCGATCGGATATGGTCTTCACAAACGCACCCACCAACGATTGATATCATCGACAAAGGAGTATCCCATGTTGTAGTTGTGCATGTTGACGGTGTAGTTGCACGACAACGCTTGCCCATCAGAAAGTCTCTTGAATAAGTGGAGATTGCTCGAGCACATTGATGTCGTCATGAGAACTAAACGTGCCAAGGAAAGAATGTGAAATCCACAAGTCTCTTGATGTCACTGCCTCTAGTATGATGGTAGCCTCTTTGATGTGACCTAGGTACATCCCGGACAAATCTTTGAGGCAGTTCTTTCATTGCCAATGCATGCAATCAACTGAACTGAAAATATCTTGAAAACCTCTTGCCGCTTCAATAGTCATAAACCTTTATATATCTTGCACAATTGGTTCTCTCAAATACCCCACCCCAAACACCTTCACCATGACGCGAGAAAATCTCGCAGTGGCATCAAGGCTTGTGCTCTTCCCCCATCTGGACCACCTCACCGACAGCATCGGCGGCGGTACCTAATGCATGCTCGGTGCAGTCGAGCATTTCTGCAAAGGAAAGAACGAGAGTTTTCCACAACAATCCTTCTTGAGCCTGAATTACGTGAATGCTATGAAGGCGAGCCAGGGCTGACTGTCATCACGTGAATGACGGGGGCATAGACCTACAATTTCTGAATTAGGGTTACACTTTCGGGATTTGTTGAAAAATTATTAAAAAATATGAAGTAGGGATCATGTGCCTTCACTCCCTCCACCATGTGCAAGACAAGGGTTTGCACATACCGAAGTGTGGACGAAAAAAAATCTATTATGGGATGCCGATCCGGGCTGGGAGTAGTCCTCATAGAGAAGTGGTGCGCCAACAACCCTATCCGGTTTGCAGCTCTCCTCCCTTTGACCGAACCCTTGAAGTTCAGAATTTGCTCCACTTTCCTCTTCATTTTCTCCTGGATGGTGATGATCATCATCATCTCAATATTTTTGTCGTCCAAATCCAATGAATCGAAGAGCCCATTTTGAATTAATTCAAGCTCCTTGTGTTGATACTCCTCATTTGATAAACCCTCTGAATCCATCGTTTTGCCTACAAAAGAATAAAAAACTAGACAGTTTGTTGAACACATAAAGGGCAAGGTGTAGTCTGAGAAGAGTTGGATGTACGCAGCAGCGTCTCGGGCGGCAAGACTGACATGGAGGAGTTTTATGGCGATTGTGGTGGCGCTCAAGCGTTGGAAGGGCGACAAAGTTAGGGTGACGACACAGCTAGGGAGGGCCGACGCAGACGAGGGAGAAGAGAGGAGATGAAACGGATTGGTTCGGCTAGGTTGAAGGTGGTGGGGGGTGAGGATTTGATGAAATTTGTGATGGGTGTTGTCTGCCGGATCCGACATGGCGGACGCGCCCGAGCCTGCCTATATCTGCCCTAAATATGGGTTGTACATACGAGGTGCCAGTCAGTCCAGGCGTTCGAGGAGTCTGGCTAGGTCGCGATTTTGTGATTGATCACTGACCGTGCCATTCGCCCGGGTGTATAGGGGCATTTGAGAAACCCGGTTGTAGATGATCCAAGACACATGGTTTGAGTTGAATACAGATGTTATCTTTATATGAAAAATAAATCATGGTAGTTACATCTCGTCATATTCTATGAACAATCATATTTCTTATGAAATCTTGCACAACTATCACGCCATAGCATGACCGACACATAACTATAAGACACTATTTTTCTTTCAAAAGCTTGATAGTACTTTCTTCAAAAGCTCATACTACTACTAAACACGAGCAAGTCTTGACCAAGATGAAGCGCGCGCGGGTGTAGCAAGGCTCCGTTTTCGTAGTAAAAACCATCTCCTTTTCTCGTTCCATCTTTTCTCAACCCGTCAAATCAAGCGAAAGCAATACTAGAACAGAACCATGTGCTCCAGTACGCAACAAGCGAAGCCATCGCGACAAAAACAAAATGAAGAAAAAGAACGGTGCGCTCCACCTCCCCCTCCGAGGCTCCGACCCGCCCGCCCGCAGCTCAGCTCAAGGCGCGCACACAGACACAGGCCGGAGGGGGCGTTCGGGCCGGCACGTACCCCCGCCCCACGTCCCGATCACCGGGTCGCCTCACCCTCACGGGCTCGCTCTCAACCGGTCAACGTACTGTACCGCACCGGTGCAGCCCATTTACGGCGCTGTCGCGGTGTCGCCGTCCTCCCTCCGTCCGTCCATTCCATCGGGTCCTCCCGTGGCCGTGCCGAGCCCCCACGCGGTGCCGTGACCGCGACCGTACGCGAGCCCGCCCGCCCGGCCGGCCCGTGACCACGAGCGTAAGGTTACGAGGATGCTACATACATGCGCGTACGGCTTACGTAGACAGAGCGAGTATACATGGCAGACTTTGGCGCGGGTGGGCGTCTCTCGGGTGGTGGGGGATGCATTTGTCGAAAGGAACAACGTTTCCGATGGGGCGAGCGGGGGCGTGACCGGTCGACCGGAACGGCACAGTGGCCCGGACAGGTACGCCTGTGGCTGCGTACCCGCCCTCGCGTGGGTCTACGTCGAATAATTGCACCCATCCCATTACACCCGGGCCCCGGCGAGCAAAACAGTACCCGGACCTAGCCTGCAACCCCCAAGCCCCCGACGCGGTACATGCACGCATACACACACACGAAAGAGAGCGGTGCACGCAGTACGTACACACCGGCAGGCGGACGCGGTACGTGCTAGGCTAGGCCAGGCTAGATTGGTCCAGCTGCCGGCTCCCCCCGTGCTCTCGTCGGCACGGCGCGACATGCCGTCACGTACCTGCTCCGCCTGTGGCCCTTGGCGCTTGCGCCCGGCCGGCCGCGGTCGGGTCAACACACGAGGCCTCCCAGATCGGGCGCGGCATGCATGCATGCATGCATGCATGTGCCGCCGGTACGTATGTACGTATACCGGCGCGGATTAATTTAGAGTTCGATTTGATTAGAGGGAGGGAGGGGGGCGTGCGGTGCACTTGGGCAATGTAATGCGGTCCTGCGAGGAGGGATCTCATCTAACCTAGCAGCACAGGGCGTACGGCCGGGGGCTTATCTTACTCTCGCTAGGTGCCTAAGATAACCAGCATGAGTTGATGGTGCCGGCCGTTAACAATTCCAACCAAAAGCTAATCGTCTGGTGCACACGCAATGGTGGACACTATCATACCATGGATCACGTGGGTGGTTCTTTGTCCATGCCACTGGTTTTTCCTCTTTCGCTAGAGTTAATTAAGCGAATGGCTTTTGAATCCGTGTTTGTTCATGTCGGTCAAATCAAATCTCATGAATATGTTGTACCGTTTGTCCTAGATGGAGCTGGATTAAATAATTTCGGCATTTGTGGGTGCCCCTCCATACGATGTACTGGAGAGGGTTTTAAAACATTTTGTTGCTTAGCGTTTGGCTAGCGATGTAATAACAAAATAGTGTCATGACATCTGCCACAAAGGTGCGTCGACATCCATACTTTACTCTTCGTTGCACTACAAACATATTTTGTGATGTACGCTCCGTGTGATATATATACTTGTATCTTTAGAAAGGCCTAGAGTCTTAGGTGTAAGACCTTTCTAGCTGCAGGCCTGATTCGCACAAGGTGCTACTTGGTTGTTGCATATAAAAAACGGTAATACTATAATACTCTGTCCCTCCGGGACTAAATTACTTAGCAAGTTGACATTTGTTTATATTTAGCTTCGGGAACGTCCAACGTCTCCGGTGTAAGACCTTTCTAGTCGCATTCCTGATTCAAACAAGATGCTACTTGGTTGTATATAAAATGATTGGGCTATAATACTCCTCTTCGCAACAATTAAATTACTCAGTAGGTGAACATTTTATATATTCAACTCTAGCATATAATACAAATTTGTTGTCGGCATAGAAATGAGTTGCAATCATTTCATAAATAGGAAGAACACATGGCTTATACCAAACTAGCAGCCTAAAAAGGTTTTTTTTTCTTCTTTCTGAGAGGAGGCATTTAGCTTGTGGAGCAAAATGTTGAAGCGGCTGGGCGAAAAAACCCTCGGCTGATCCGCGTGAGGGCACGACACGTGGCGTCCCGGTCCACGGGGTGTGTGGCCGTAGCGATTAGCGAGGCTCCGCTGCACAAAAATAGTTTACCTCTGATGCCCTTGGCCTCCCCGACGTCCCATCTCGCTTTCTCTCTTTCTCTTTCTCCCACTGGCCTGGCCCCCTCTCCTCGTCGTCCTCCAGTCCTCATCCCCCGCCCCATGGCCACCACCACCACGGCCGCCTCCCCCCCTCCCCCCACC